GTACTGGGGTCAATACTATATATATATATATATGTATATGTGTATATATATATATACACATATAAAAAAAATAAGGATTGGATACATTTGGACAAATGTAGGAATGTGAGTGCATTAAATCAAGAGCTTTCAAACTTTACAGACCCAGGGACATGGCATACCAGATAACACATTACAGTAGCTTTAATTAAGAATATTAACAATACATAACGCTTAATAGACAGACATTTTTATGAGTTAAATAGTTAAACATGTCACAAAAAGTTAAGTGCTATATGCTTTATATATCTTCTCAACAGACCCCCTAAAGTGCTTTCAGGACTTCCTGATTGAAAACCAATGGCATTTATTTTAATAAAGTATATCACAAACTATTTTCAAGCAAGAAAAGTTTGATATGTTTAAATTATAAAACAATACCTTTAAGACAAAGTATTTGGACACTTTCTGGTTGTCAAACATTAAATGAATTGACTTACAAACGTAAGACTATATAAACTGCAGTCCATTAAAGGTTTCTAAACCTGAAAATAAGACTCTAGGGAACTTATTTATAAATGCATATTAAAAAAATAAGGATTTGATACATTTGGACAAATGTAGGAATGTGAGTGCATTAAATCAAGAGCTTTCAACCTTTACAGACCCAGGGACATGGCATACCAGATAACACATTACAGTAGCTTTAATTAAGAATATTAACAATACATAACGCTTAATAGACAGACATTTTTATGAGTTAAATAGTTAAACATGTCACAAAAAGTTAAGTGCTATATGCTTTATATATCTTCTCAACAGACCCCCTAAAGTGCTTTCAGGACTTCCTGATTGAAAACCAATGGCATTTATTTTAATAAAGTATATCACAAACTATTTTCAAGCAAGAAAAGTTTGATATGTTTAAATTATAAAACAATACCTTTAAGACAAAGTATTTGGACACTTTCTGGTTGTCAAACATTAAATGAATTGACTTACAAACGTAAGACTATATAAACTGCAGTCCATTAAAGGTTTCTAAACCTGAAAATAAGACTCTAGGGAACTTATTTATAAATGTATGATTTATAAATGAGGTAATCAATGATGCGCTGTGAAATGTCCAGTTTAGGGATCAGCTCCAGAGCTCTAGCACCCAACACAGTCCTCAGGACGATACGGCACAGCTGCTGCAGAGACAGAAAGTTACCTGCAGAAAAACAGAACAGCAGATGAAATCATTCTGAGATGTCTCGTAATATACTGTACAGCACATATGCAGATTGTAACATACTCTCATAGTGCAGCAGACAGAGATTGGCAGGAGATTCAGGTTTTGTATAGTCTCTAGGTTTGTGACCCAAGTTATCACTTATGTTGACATTTCCACCAAACTCCACCAGCAGCTCCACCAGGTCCACTCTCTCGGCCCTCGCCGCATGATGCAGTGCCGTCTCATGGAACTTGGTGGCATTCACCTTTGCACCTTTGAAAGTATGAAAAAATAATAATGCAGAATAATACATAGCAGTGCAAAATAAAATATATAAACTACACCTATAAAAAAGTGCCTCACCTGCATTGAGCAGCAGCAGGGCACAGTCTAAGTGAGCTTTAGCACAAGCAGCATGTAACGGCGTCCCGAAGTAAATGTCAAAGGCCTCCAGCAGCGCTCCCTTGTCTATCATAAGCTTCACACAGTCTGGGCTACCTGCACAGAGATCATGAGAAAACAAACAATCTAAACACAAAGCATACCCTCTCCTGGCTATCTCACCTCGTATGCAGGCCTCATGGAGGGGTGAAGCCGTGAGGGCGGTCAGGGAAGGGTTGACGGACGCTCCATGATCCACCAGCAGCTTGACACTTTCTATGCTGCCAGCCGCACAGGCGTGACAGAGAGGAGTACTGCCATGGATGGTGCGCACATCCACCTGCACACACAGTTTTCAATGGCGAATATAGTTTATACCTTAGACTAGTCATGACTGAGTTTTGCAGGGTGGGATGTGTGTTACTTATTAATTAAATTTTCAGTGCCTTGTTATTCCTCCCATCTTCTCTAATATTGTTGGCTCTATGATGATTTGCTTATGCTCCTTTATTGTAAGTCACCATTGTTGGGAAGGTTACTTTGGAAATGTTATAGGCTAGATTACAGATTGCAAGTTACCCTATTTAAAATGTAATAAGTAGTCTAAGTATTTCAATTACTTTATTAAAGTAACGTTGAATACATTTGATTATTTTTTGAAATTTACATTTACATTTAGTAGATGCTTTCCAAAGCGACTTACAAATGAGGACAATAGAAGTAATCAAACTAACTTTAATCCTTCATCTCTAGAATTAAGACTATAATCATTTAATTTGAAAGTACATCCACCACAAAATCTGAATTTAGCACCTCTTTTTACTTTGAGATCGTTCTGAAGTTAAATACCGATTTAAAATAAACAAAAAAATATAGTAAATATTAATACAAGTACTCAGATTGTAATCGTTATCATTTTCATAAATAACTGTAATTTAATTACACTTTTTTTTCTCAGTAACTGTAACTGATTAGTTACATTTATTTTGTCATTTAATTACGTAACGCCGTTACATGTAACTAGTTACTCCCCAACGCTGTAAGTCACTTTGGATAAAAGCTAAGCATACGCGAAGAAGAACAACATCACTCAAAAGAGGCCCTCATTAAAATATACCTTGTGCCGTAACCCACCTGAGCTCCAGCCTCCAGCAGGATTTGAACACACTTTGGATGGGCTTGGATGCAGGCATCATGCAGAGGGGTGAAGTTATCAACAGACACGATATTAACTGATGCTCCTGCTTCTATCAGCTGTTTTAACTGCAGCGCTCGACCTAGAGACGCAGCCTCGTGTACCGGCGTGCGGTCAGCCCAGTGACCTACAAATGCAGTCATTTATTTCGTTTTAAGTGGGAATAGATCTAATGGGAAATATATTTCCACCGTCTATTACACAGCAATGTTAAGCAATTGCAAAGACAGGAGTCGGTTAAGCATAAAATGCATTGATATTAGACAGATACTCACCGATGTCACCATAAAACGTTGATCTGGCAGCGGTGAGTTCCATAATTTATTAAATCTACTTGACATTTAACAAATATTACTCATATAGCATGCGACCAACGTGCTGATAAAGTAAACTTGTTTTATATTTAGAGAAGCCGCCTGTGCAGTTTATGATTTGCGACACTACGTATTGAATACGGCAAATACGCAAAGGATTCTGGGAGATGTAGTCCCTCCACAGCGGTCACTACCATTAATTGTTTATTAATAACCTTTTTGAATGTCAAAATATAACTTTTATATTAACGAAGCACTTGTGATATATATTTAATACCACTTTACAAAATTACATTTAACTGCTTTGTTTTTGTGATGTAAACATGCAGGCCACACAATAATAATAACAAAATAAAAATCATAAATATTCTTGTTTATAAAATATGGATCATCATTCATATTTAACAATTAAAAATAATTGTTAGTGAAACTAGGTAGTTAATAAATAAAAACACAAAGTCAATTTTCCACAAGTTAACATTTTTACTTCGCAGTACAGAAATCATTTGAGCCCCATTCGTTCAGCGCTTGTTGTTTTCTTTTTTAAAACATTGGTGACATTTTGCACAGGGCCCTGGTCATGTCAATACTGCCATAGACATTTTGGTCCTTGCTAACACATCAGAGCCGTTGAGGAGACACTGCCTGCTCCTCTCTCTGCTCTGAGGTGAAGGAGAAGAAGAGCTCCCTAACACACACTAGACAAGCAGATTCCAGACTTACAGTTAAGCAGCTTTTCCCACTGACGTGTGATAACCTCCATGTAGTAGCCTTAGAATCACGCATAACCCATCAGAAAAGAGATGCAAGGCAAAGCTGAAAGAAACCCTGGCCCTTCCGACAAGTAGCACAATTTACAGCTAATAGGGGGTCAGTTATGTCAAATCACATGAGCATTTTGCAAAACGAATACTGTGTGGTTGGACACGGATTACATAAAAGATCATCTACACTGTGTGTGCTTGATACTTCCCTTCGATCTGTAAACGCAAGGAAATTGGATAAATATTGCAAACGAAATATTGAGGATACTAGTTTAAGCACCAGTTGTAATTTGTAGGAAAAAAGAATAATGAATAATCCCTGGAAGTTATCTTAGAAGTAGATAGTTTCTTTTAAAAATAAAAACGTGTGCTGTTAAACCTGGCCAAACTCAAAACAGATCATTTCGCAATTTTGCAAAACCCGATCCCCCTCCTCTTGACAGCTAACACCAGTACATTTTAAAAATATGCATTTCTTCATATCACTTGAATACATCTTATTTGGCATCTCTGGACTTTTCACATCCCATGTCTAAGCAGGTTGAGCTAAAGATCACATGATGGAAACCGATTACAGGGCGTTGATAAACAATCAGTGCAAAATGGATCTCGTTTCCTGATTATAAAAAGCAGACTGGCAGAACCTTCTCCGCCCCCCCAAAAATGCTAAATTTGTATAACGGTTTACATGAAATTCCATTAAGGGCAAAACATACGCTTGGATAGCCAGCTCGCCCAGTTTGGTTGCCTTTTTTTTTCTTTTTTCTTTTTAAATGTTAAGATTATGATCGTCTGAATATCTGATATTCAAGAGCAGCTGGAGCTAGTTTACTGGTCAGCACAGTCTCCGAAGATGTCATTCTTCTTGCGTTCCATTTCGGCAAAGTCAAACTCCGTGCCCGTCATTCGCTTGTAGATGTCTTTGATATCGTCGCAGGTCGTCTCGAAGTGGGTCGTGGCATCATAGGAGCGAGAGACAAAGATCTGGGTGCAGATAAATACAAACTTAGTACTGTAGTCACTCTTGTATATCAAGTGAGCACAATGTAAACACTTACCTGGCTGTCAGATCCCACATCGGTTGGCGAATACTGATCACTGATGCTCACAAATCTGCAGGAAGGTCACATATAGCACAAAATTCTTATTTATCCGATTGCATGCATGTCAAAGTAAGTTGTAGATATCAGCGAGTGCACACAAACGTACTTCTGCTCAACCGGTTCCAAAAGGTCCAGGGCTGGTTTGATCTCTTTCTCAGGGTCGCTGGTCTCCACAGTGGTGCTGACTATGGCTATGTATTTACCCTGGGCTGCCACATTGTGTGCGTAAGAGATCATGCACACATAGATATCTAAAAGGAAGAGATGGTTTTAATGTACAATAATGTACCTTTTAAAAGTTTGGGGTCGGTAATATTTTGAATGCTTTTGAAAAATTCAATGCTCACCAAGGCTACATTTATTTAATCACAACTACAGTAAAAACAGGAATATTGTGAAATATTATTACCATTTAAAACAGCATTTCTATTCGAACGTATTTTACAATGTAATTTAATCCTGCGATGACAAAGCTGAATTTTAAGCAGCCATTACTCCAGTGTCACATGATTCTTCAAAGATCATTATAAAATGTAAATTTGGTGATCAAGAAACATTTCTTATTATCAGTGATGAAATATTAATATTTTTGTGGAAATTATCATTTTTTTAGGATTCTTTTCTTAAAAAGAACATAACAGAAATCATTTGTAACATCTTTTGTAAATGTCTTTACTGTTACTTTTAAACCAATTTAATGTTTCCTTGCTAAATAAAAGTATTAATTTCCTAAAGTCTAAATGACCTCAAACTTTTGAATGGCAGTGGATATATAATTATTATAATATTATTATGTAAATTATATCAAATGTAAACAGGTGGCAAAAAAACTGATACATGGCAATATCTCAGATAAGTGTATTAGGCCTTTTATGAATGTAAAAAATAAATAATTACTTGGACAAATTTGAATTTTTTATTAAAATATTGGAAAGCTACATGCCATTACTTTCTATTCATATTTAAATTATTTATAAATTTAACTTCTAAAAAAAACTGTTCAAGAGCATTATGAAAATAAATTTGGTATCAAAAATCCTGTAATTTCAATTTGTTACTGCCAACCCTAAAATACACCAAATATAAAATAATAAGAGATTAAAATAAGGTAAGAGCCCACTGAACATGCAAGCGCTGTGGCTTCCTGTCAAACTAACCGTGCTTCCTGTTGACCTGGTTTTGAGGGATGATGATCTGGCAGGAGTTGGCATCGCTGGTGTTCTTGATGGGGTGGCTCATGATGCAGATGACCCGGATCACCTGACCCACCTTGTTGACTCGGTCCATTATATAGCTGGGGTCGCAAATCAGCTGCTTGCAGCGAGCGATCTGACCGTGAAGAATAAACAGCATTAAAGTCACAGCACATTTTAAGGACAAATCAGTTTTCACACAGCTTGCAACAGAAACTCACCTCTCCCTCAGATTTGACGCCCACCACTTTGCCGTTCTCTATAATAATCTCCTCAATGGGCTTGTTCAGCATGTAGGTTCCTCCATAAATGGCACTTAATCTGTGAGTGACAAAAATAAACTGCTAGTGTATTTACAGAGTACTGCAATCCAAGCACAATACACACAGACAGGTTTAAAAATATGTGAATGTTAGTAGCAGAGGAATGGTTGGGGAAACTCACCTGGCGAAGCCTTGGGGCAGCTCTCCTAGGCCATAGAGAGGGTACAGATATGGACTCTTTCCATACCTCGCCAAAGACTCGCTGTACAACTTAATCCTGTTTATCGTCTCCATGCAGGGCTGATCCAGGTAGCTGGACGGATAGACAACACAAACACCACACAAACAGGCTTAACTTCATGGAGCAAACAAGCCTGCGACATCAGTGTTTTAGAACTTCCTCCAAAAAGTAGACTAGGTTTTGACTCACTCATCTGTGCGGTAGAGTGCGAGAGCGTGGCCGGTGAAGTCGACAACATCCTGCCCGAGGTCAAACTTTTTGTACACATCTCGCATGGTGGTCTTTTTTGGGTCCACTCCCTCCAAGGTCTTTGGGTCATTTTCATCAAAGTTGGCAACAAACACAAGGAACTTCCTGAATCGTCTTTTCTCGAAAAGTCCCATGAGGCCTAAAGGATAATTGTTACATGTTAAAGATGATATTTTTACCCCATCAGCTATGACAGCATGCACTTTGTTTGGTGGAATGTATTTCATGGAAAAAAACATACCAGCATCTCTTACTTAGTCTGCAAAAAAAAGACGAACTACTGAACTGTTTTACACACAATTATTTCATTATGTTGCAAAATTAATCAAAAGGGAAGTAGGGCGAGACGTCCATAATCATCATTTCACTGTAATTCCTCTCTACTCATAACAGACCCACTCTTCCTTTCAGACCAGGGTGATTTTTATTGATATATCATTATAGTTTTTTATTAATAATTTAAATTGTCTTTTATATTTTTTACATTTTCTATTTAACTTTAATTTATTTCGTTTTCATTTTTATTTCCAGGTCTTAATACAGGGTTCGTACACATTTTTACCAATAAATTTCCATGACTTTTGAGACAATATTCATGACCTAATGTTCCATTATTTTACAAGAATAAAAATCAGTTCAAATTATCACAACTAAAATTAATGACTATTAGTTCTATTGTTTGCTTTCTTGTTTTAGTAATAAGTACAAGCTGCAACTGCGTCAGACGTTACTCCACACAGAGAACATATCACATCACTATGTTATCATTTATTTAACTCAGTTAAACGTTTTGAAAACTTTTCTCTTTCGCAACTGTTTACATTCACTTAAGAAAAAACCAACAGTGCTTATGAGGATAATCACCAGGTTGGTCATTTTGTGTGTATTTTTGCCGCTTGAACGCAACATGCTGCGCTATTTAGAGCCCTGCATTTCAGCCCCAACCCCGACAGGCCCCGACTTACTTATGGCTTCGGGACAATTTTCACATCATAGCTCAGAAGCGGGCCGCCCATCGGGCTTGTTTTAGGCTTCCTCATTTTTATGTTTTAGATATCCATCAATTTTTATGGTGATGAAAAGGATTTGCCGCGCTGGTGGAAACAACACGAGACCGTGCTACCGCGACTGTCAAGAGAGGCTTGACGGTGTTTAGCGTCTAGCAGCAGCAGCGAGTGCTGGAAGAGTTTAGCGTTAAAGCACACGCAATAAAGCTTGCCGCAAACCCCAGCAAGTAATTACCATGATGAATGTGTCGGGGCCAGGGGAAATAGAATATTCGGTTTCAGTTCCATTTTTGTGAAGAGCTTCTGCTCAA